CAGGTATTTAAAACTTGAGTGTTTTCTGTCTTTTCAATGTTTTAGCGGAATTTATTGTTCTACTACTTGTAAATACTATTGTAAATGATGCTGTGGTAATATATTTACTGAAAATCCCAATAATTGCTGTAGGAGAATCCTTATGGCAATATTAAAACTAATGTTCCAAATACCAACTGGAATGGATCACCCAGCAAAAACTTCAAAAATAGACCAAAACGAGGAGGGTTTAAAGGAGGGTATGTTATTTTCTTTTCTCTTTGTTACTCTTGATCACTTGCACGTTTTGTCTGTGCGTTACAATTGCTGTCCTGTTTCTTTAGATTCCAGAAGTCTAAATTTCATGATGCCAACAATGGGAGAACTGGGTTTCCTAAAGATCATAATGGAAGAGGTTTGAACTTTTCTACCTTGTATCCCAGATGAAACATTTTTTATGCTTAGGCTAATGTTGTGATGACAGCAGGCCCTTACAGTGGGAGGGCAGGACAGGATAGATTAAGATCAAAGGAACTTAAGCAGCAACCAGAAAGGTAGCTTCTGCTTCACTTTCTGATCCTTTTTTATCTGGTCCCAGTCTATTACTTATTTGCAGTCGTTTTTTAATTGTCTTGGTTGTTAATGATAATGTGTAACAATGACATGCTAATTAAATAGTTTTAGTTTATTTGCTACTTCCTGAAATTGAAGGTTATTTTACATTGCTGTTTCTGGAGTCCTAAAAATGTTGCTAGTAGATATCAACTGAATGTAATATTTTCTTGAAAATGTGAGAATTTACTTGAAAAAGAATGATGTACACCCGAAAAGTAGAACAATGTTAATAGAAAATTTTTGCCACTCTGTTCGAAGTTTTGGACATTATCCTTGATTCTGTGTCCAAATGTCCAGTTTTCTTGACTGTCATTAGTCAGTACCTATCATTAGTCACTACCTATGGGAGATAGGGAAAGCCAACTCTATATATAACCCTTATCTGTAGCTAGCTTCAATAAATGCAGAAATCAACTATTCATTTTAGCCAAAGGTTAGCAATGTAAAAATTGTTGACATATAAGCCCGTTTGTAGTACAGGGAAATATTTCGGTCTATTTTAGTTTTGAACTGTGAGATGAGGCATGTAGTTAAAAAACATCTGAGACTGAAAATACTGGATGGACATAATGGTAACCATCAAGCCATGTTATAGATCCGCAATTGTGTCCACAGTTGTACTTTGTAGGTCATTTTTTGAACATCTCTGAAAACAAAAGTTTATTTGGGATGACCTTAGTGCACACACTCTTGCGGTGTATGTGGCATTAAGGGTGCAACAATAGTAACTTTTCTTGCCTTTTAATGGTTCTTATATAGATTGGTGGGTATTTGATATTGGTGATAAGGTGTTAAGAGGAGTTCCCTGGGTAGTTAAATTTAGTTTTAGAAGTTGACCTTATGTTTTCTCTTAATAGCCATAATAACCAAGGAATCTGACATGGTCTTTACACACATGACTCAAAGACTAAGCTAGGGTTGAGAGCTCTGAGCAGATTAATTTCCCCAACTCCCATTTCATGTGGGTTGGCATAGTAGTTAAAGCTCTTAGTAAGAGTCTTCCTCAATTGTTGTAGTTTGTAGATGAAGAATGGAAGAGGAAGAGAACCGCATAAGTATCACTTCGCTCTTTCTCACACGTCCTTAAAAGACTAGAAAAAAAGTGTTGGTCTAGAACCTATTATCATCAATGTTAATATGATAATTGAAGGACTCCATTTTCATTTACCACTTTAATGAATGTTGTTGGGGAAGCCATGTTGGGATTTTTCTACGGGTATAGACTCTAGAGATTTAACACCAATGAGTTAAAGCAAACCTATATACGAAAACATTAATATTTTCCAATGTTTTTTGTGCATCACTACAAACTGGATAATAATAATTTGTGGTGACGGTGATAGTGATGGTCGTGACAGTGTTGACGATGATGATAATAGTGATGACAACAATAATAATGAGATGGTAGCAATTGTGATGATCATAGTGGTGTTGGTCGCAATGCCAATGGTAATTATGAGATGATGACAATGGTTATGATAATTGGTATGTTAATAATGGTAGTGAAGATGTAGTGGTAGGTGCTATAGTGAAAATGGAATGGGGATAATGATGATAATGGTAACATGGTGGGTGACAATAGGGGAAGTGATGGCAAAATTTTTGTAACAATGGTGTAAGTGGTGGTATACTAATGGTGGTAATGTCAATGTGGTTGTGGTTGTTATGATGGAGATAATGATGATAGTAGTATAGGGGATGTATGTGGGGTGGTGGCAACAACAATAAGGGTAGTGAAAATGGTAACAGAGGCAATAATGGGAGGGATGGTGACAGTGATAATAATGGAGTTGGAGTGATGTGAGAATAGAAAGGTAGACCATTTTATCATGTTGCCTTCTAACCTAGCTCTTAGGATAAGAAATACATCCCACTAAAATAGACAATAAAATTAGGGATGACAAATAAATCTACACTTGGGGAAATTTGTGGATAAAATATGTAACAGATACTAAATGAATACTAGTAATGGATATCCACAGGTAATGGGTACGAGTATTTTAATTATTCTTGTTGATGAAACAGGTTTGGATATCATGATATTCAACCCACATATATTCGCCAATCATTATTAGTGAATTTTATTTGAAGATTTTAAAAAGCAAGTGGCAAAATATTTAGTTATTAGTGAGAGAAGTATTATTCAATAAAGAATGGGTTAGAATTTGATTTTATATATTTATATTTTTTTCTTTAGACCTATGAAATTTAAATTATTTGTAAAAGGATTAATCCCTTAAAATTTATTCTTTGGTGCAACTCAATCAAAGAAATCTTATATGATGTTGCACCAAACAATTGATTAATAGAATCTTTTTTGCAAATTGGTTCTTGTAAAGGAGGCGTGATAAACATACATCTAGTGTAGTATTTTGAACTTTTACATTCAACATGAACATAAGTATGTGTTGTGTGTATTATTTGATCCATCTGAGTTTTTAAATGTAAGTAGTCAAACAATACATGTGGTTCTATATAAATACAACGTCCTGCCTTCCTTCAACATACTTGATCAACAAGGTTCTGACCTTTCACAATTTCGGTACCAGACTTGTGATTTTTGTCCAAATAAATGTCTTCCAAAATCCAGATAACCTTCTAAATGAAATTAGATTTTCTTTTGGTGTTATTTTTATAAAGTTATGTCTGCTTTCTCGTTAGATTTTTATTGTCTTTTCATTATTGAATTACTTTTCTTAAACTTCGAATTTCACAACTTATTCTTTTATACTGAAAATACCTTAACTCTAACCCTGATTTTGTTTATGATTGCTTTTATTTCATTTCTTAATTAAATGTTTAGATCTTTCTCTGTGACTTACACTGAGCAAGAAATCCAACAATGGCGTGAAGCACGGAAAAATAATCATCCTTGTAACCACTTGCAGAAGGTTGTAAACAAACTGATCTATCTACTGCTCGTGTTTATCAGATGTTATTTTCTAAATATCAATTCCTGAATACTAATTGCAGAGGCACAGTGAATGCCCGATGGATTCCAAGGTTATTAACAGGGAGGTCTTACAAAGAGAGGTATACTTAGAGGGATGTTATTAGCATGTAACACTTCCCAATATAATGTTATCATGTCGTAAAATTTAATAATGTTCAATATGTAAAATTAAGAAAATAGTCTTTTTTAGCAGGAGATATAAGTGCTGACATATATATTTCTTGGACTCAGCAAATGGTATTCCATTTCGTTAGCAGTGTATATATTTTGTCTTTGCAGCTTAAGGAGGTTTTAGCAAAGCAAGCTGAATTGGGAATCGAAGTTGCTGAAATACCATCACACTACCTTAAGAATTCTGAAAATCGAGGTCTTCAAAATGAAGGGAAAAACAAATTTAGTGACAAAAGAAAGTTCCAAAACAAGTTCAATGAGAAATTAGACAGAAAAGGTCGGTTCGGCAAGAGGCAAAAGTTTGCTGACAACATTTCAGAAAGCCCTTTGTCAAAGAAGAGGAAGCCAACTTTATTGCAGAAACTCTTGAGTGCAGATATAAGTAAAGATAAGAGCCACCTGTTTCAGGTTTTCAGGTTCATGGTAATAAATTCTTTCTTCAAACATTGTCCTGACAAGCCCCTTAGATATCCATCAGTCATGGTTAAAGAGAACGGGTCTGAAGTTGACACTGAAAAAGATGTTTCTAAACGTGGGAACGAGGGAGCTGTTAAAAAAATTGTTAGCCTAAATAATGATGACGATCATAATAGTGAAGACGAAGACAGTGATGTTGATGAGAATGACTCTATTGTGCATAATCATCCACACGAAGAACTTTTTTCCTTGGTTAAAGAAGAGCAATTTGAGAAATCTGATGAAGAGGAGGGAGAAATTTTAGAATGAAATTCCTAGGTTGGTGCTCCACTTTTTTGCAGCAAAGTTTTGAATACTGTAGTGGTAACAATTTTTGTTTAGTCATTTGTTTCCCTTGTGGTTTCACCATCATGCATAATGTTACAGTCAATGTATTTTTGCAGCAAAGGTTTCTGAATACTAGTATTACACAATATATTTGCGCACATGCCTATCTGTCGTTTTTAGCAAAGGATTCAAAGATTAGGGAAAGTATAATTAGATATTTTTAATATACTTTTACTTTTGATTTCTTATTTACTATCCGAATGACAACCTTTTCCCATTATATGTGTTGTTTTATGGTAGTTTATTGAATATAATGTCTTAGAAATAATAAGATATTTTAAGCCACGCTTTTATTTGTGGAAAAAGAGCCGTTCTCTCTGCATTTTACTGACTTTTCCCTTCACCTCCAACTTTTTTAAATTCTTTTAAAAATAACATATCTAACCTTTAACTAAAATAATTTCCAAAGTAAAAATTATTTTACTTTTCACCTATATTTTTTATCTTTCTCTGTTCCATTTTAAATGATAAACCCTAGTACGTAGTCAGTGCATCCTCTTCAACTCCTTTCACCTTAACTCTCCCTTGCAGCTTTCCTTATTGGATCTCCTTCTCATTTTCTCTTATTTTGTCTTCATTCTCTCTTTGTTTTGTCCATTTTCCTTGATTGTTTTGTTCTCTTTTGTTGGTTTGGTCTTCATTGTGTACTCCATTGTTGTGTGGTCACTCCTGTTGATGAAGATCACTGATCACTCCTTTCCATGAAAAACATGTAAGATTTGCTTGAAATTTGTTTGATACTTGATTTGGTTTGTTTGAATTTCATTTTCATTTTGGTTGATGTGAACGCAAACACCGAGAGACTTTAACAAACACTCAAAATTTGGTTAATGCTTTGTCGATTTTCAAAAGCAAATTAAGGTCTCGATGGATTATTCAGTGAGACTTTAATTGGCTTTCGAAAGTCGGCGAAGCCTTAATTGGATTTGGAATGCTAGTTAAGGCTTCGGTGAATTTTGAATGTCGACAAAGGACTAAACAAATTTCAAATGTAGGTTCGAGAGCCATTTAATCCTTTGCTAGTATTCAAAATATGTTTTCATTTTTTTAACTTTTGTTTTTTTTGTTTATTTGAATTTTCTGGGCCGTTTTACGAATTTTTTTTTATATTTTGTAGGTTTTTTTATTTTTATTTTGTAATTTTAAATATTTTGGTTCACGGGTATAGCTAGAACAAGAGGTGCATCAACCTGATGGAAGTTTATCATAGGATGAAAGGAGAATACCTAAGACATCAGCTCATAGAGGACGAACTCAAAAAGGTAATGTTGATGTTGCTGAGGACCATCATGTTATTGAAGAGCAACAAGAATGTTATTGAGTAGGAGAATGTTACTAAACAAGAAGATGAAGTAGGAGGATTCCCAAGAAGTCCACAGGACACATCACTGTTGACTCATTATACACAACATGTTACATTTACTTTATGACAAGGTTGAACTAGTACATAACTTAAAGTTTAGTTGGTAATGAGTAGTTTGATTTTATCTTTTATATATATTTTGTTGTTGTTGTTGTTAGTACACGTACATAGGTCTCCCATATTGGTCCTTAATACTCTCTTCAGGTTTTCATGCATAGACTTAACCCTGATGTAAACGACATTAATAATATCATAACACAAAACATAAATAGGTAAAGAAAATAACAATAATAATTACCTGATTGTTGTTGTGTTGCCTAGATGCAAAACTCTATTCGCTCACACCTTAACGAAGTATGCCCTACACGAAATTATCCAAGTGTGATTAACATATTCAAAAAACAAAGGACATGCAGTAGAAATATACTGAAGACGATCAACATAAGCATTAAACATGGCTCCTCCTCACAGTCCATCACATTTTCCAATGCTTCCATCAACACATCTCATGCTTCAACAGAATCCACTAACATTTTGCATTTTGGCTTTCACATTTTTCATATTGTGAAATCGACATAGCATATGATAAGTTTTAAGAAATACATTGTCAATGACATTCATTAAAGCAATGTCTCTGTCAGTAACAATCATGTGTGGTTTGTCCTCATATGTCATAAATAAACCTCTAAAACTTTCCAATGCTTAAGTGAAATTATTTTGGCATTCACTTGATAATAATGTAAAATCGGCTCAGAAGGTCAACTCTATAGATATGATGCCAATTATCTCAAGTAAGGGGAGACAATATTTGTTTGTCTTGTACGTGATATTAATAAAAAAACACACCACATACTGATCTTTAATGTTGTTTCAACTAAAGATAAATGATTAGTAATAGAAATTGATGTTCCAATTATGTGTTGTTTTATGATAGTTTATTAAACCTAATGTCTTAGAAATAGTAAGATATTTTAAAATACGTCTTTCTTTATGGAAAAAAAGTCGTTCTCCCTGCACTTTACTGATTTCTCCCTCCACCTCCAACTTTTTAAAATTCTTTTAAAAATGAAAAATCTAACCTTTAATTAAAATAATTTATACCAAAGTAAAAATGTTTTTACTTTTCACCTATTTTTTTATCTTTCTTTGTTGCATGTTAAAGGATAAACCATAGCACACTACCGTTGCACCCTTCTTCAACCCTAACTTTCCCACAACCTCCCTCGCAACTTCCCTCCTTAGATTTCCTTCTCATTTATTCTCGTTTTGTTTTCATTCTCTCTTTGTTTTGTCCCATTTTCTTGGTTTCTCTGTTTTCCTTTGCTAGTTTGGTTTCCATTATGCATTCCAATGTTGTTCGTGGTCACTCTCATTAAT